TTAACAAGTCAACTAATATTTAATTAGAAATCACCTATGGAGCATTAAATCGTAAACTGTTCTTTATTGAGGGTTCCATTAATGAAGTGTTAAAAATAATCTCGCCTCAAAAGTTTAGTGCAAAACATAATTGGCTTGTTAAAAGGCAACATTATATGTTAGAGTTTAAATGGAAGTAATATTTGATGTGAAGCAACCATTTCTTACAAACTTCTCCATTTGTATAGATGCAATGAAAGAAATACTTGATTGATTACTACTCTATCTATGCTTAAATACTTCTTTTTTTTCGTTTTGAGAGAAAGAAAGAAAGATGGTTCTTTCAAACTCTCCACTATTCTAAGAAAACTTTTGGCAGGCCCAAGGGAGAAAAGAGATTTTCCTTTCTATTTCTCTTGCTTTCCTCAACTTTTAACCAAACGAGAAAACATAAAAGAATACAAGATACCAATTGTATCACTTTCTCTTCCCTAAAAGAATACAAGATACCAATTGTATCACTTTCTCTTCCCTTTTCCTTTACCAAACATAGGACATAAATAAATGTGAATTCTACAAGGAAAATACCTTTGTCCCATAATTGATCGCATCCTCTAGTTTTCCTTTATCAAGAGCAATCTTGGATGACTCTAACAATGTTCGGCCATCATCAGAAGAGCATTCTACATGCTGTAAATCATTACAGGCAGAGTGTGGTTATGTTGAATCCATAACAAGCTGGCTCATTTAGATAATAACAATTTTAAAACCAAAAAAATGGAAAAGAGAGAGACAGAGAGAAATCCACCTTACAAACAGGATGCATGCTAATAATATCACAACTTCTGAAGGGTTCTGGGCATTCCATGTCATAATTCCTAGGAACCAACTCTAACCCAATCTGGGGAAAAATATCAGCAAAATTCAGCATATGATGCACTAAGGAGCTGAAAGCAGTCAACAAGAAATAATACCTTATGGCAAAGTCCTCGAAGAATATATAGCTTTCTTAAATGCTGGAATTCATCTCTCAGTTTCCAACCAAATTTTGCAGCAAGAAACTTTCTTAACTACCTCACTTTTAGAAAATAACCATCATTTGCATTTTGGGCATTATTTTCCACTCCACTATTTCCAAGTAAGAAATTTAGGGATGAAGCTATAGCTGCAGGTAAGTCCTCAAATTTGTCAACAGATGCAAAAACTGCTTTGAGTACATGCTTGAAAGCTCGAGTAATCGTCTCATGAATGCAAACTGAGGAAGCTTTGTAGAAAGTTCAACCTGACTTATACAGTGATATCAGAGTCAACAAAATAAGTAATTGTATTTTTTAAGTGTGTGCTTTTCATAATTTTTCAAAGACAAAACAAAATTTCTTAGGAAACCAAAGTATTACTTGAAGACAATGCCAATAAGCATTGATTCGAGAAGAAGAATAATCACTTGCACAAAAGGATCCAAGAGAACCAATATTATACAGTTTCCTTACCACTTGACCCAAAGAGCGCATCTGTAGTCCCCTCTAAATGCATAAAGTCAGTCAGCGTATGACCATCAACAGGAGAAAGTTCAAGTGACCCAACGTCTGTTACCTAATAAAGTATGAGAGTTAGCTCGTGAGCTGTGCATAAAATCCAGAAAACAAGTTTTGAAAGATAATAGCTAGGGCTATTGAATAGTACCAGCTTTGGTAAAGCAATGTCATCATAATACTTGTATGCCATCTTAGTAAGCTCATCCGCTGACTATAGGACAAAGCAAACATAAAAGAGATCAAAATATAAAAAGGGAACTTTAATACCACGAGAACAATAGTAGTTACAAAGAAAACAATAAATATACGTATGGCTTGAAGCATACATTACAAGGATTTAAGTTTTTAGTGACTTTTTTTCAACGTTTAAACGCCACTAAAAGATTTACGACGTTTGCAAAAAGAGCCTATCAGAGTATCGGCTATACATACGTCAGGAAAAATAGCGACGTTTTTTATAAAATGACGCTATAGCAGTTCATCATATAATTTAGTATGTGGCAGGCAAGGATTCAGCAGCTACAGATTTCTTCCAGCTTGTCCAAAGAAAACTTTGCAACCTTACACAAGTGCATCAAAGGAGGTAGGGAATTCTTGACCCATCTTGTAGTTGGTAACAATATTGTGTTATAAACGTGCATTCTTCATGGAAAATATCTGTAGGTAATTCGATATGCAGTAGAAGTTGATGCTGACTGCAATCGCCAAAGAAGAGAGCAAAGTAGGTGTAGCTGATGAGACTGAAAGGGCAGTGTGATGTGTTCTTGTAAGTAGTATTATTGGTCCTATCCCAAGCACTGGGTCAATCTGAACTTATGGCTGTCTTCTGCCCTATCAATAGCACCTGCATCTGATTATTGCTTCTACTTGGAAGAAATGGACTTCTTCTCCCGCTTTTACTTAAGGTTTTAAGCACTAAAATTCTTGTGCTTAGCTTAGTTGCAGCTCCTCTTGATCACTTCTCGCGTTTTATTTGCTCAGAAATTAGCAATTTGAAAATGTTTAGCTTTCTCAAATTTATTTACTTTTTTATTAAAATTTTAAACTATCATTTTTGTATTTTTTTAATAAAATTTTGATATTGTGCATGAAATTATCAAATTTAATTTTTTTAATCAACCAAATAAAAAAAATTTAGTTCCTAAATCATGAAAAAAAAAATTAGGTTTTTATAATAATTCTAATGATAATTTTTATTTTTATTTATCTATGACAGTTTTATTGAAAGTTTAAAAGTTTCATTTTCACTTTCCTTTTTATTTTAATCTAATTAAAGCATGGAAAATTATATTAGAAAAGATTAGGTTTATCAAATTTTTACACGTTAAAAAAAAATTTTTTTTTTTGAGAATCAACGATCACTAAGTTATTATAAAATTATAAATCTCTTGATATTGTAAAAACATTTTTTGCTCAAATGGGTTTATTTTTCTAAATTAATTAGTTAGTAGATGAATTTAATTTTTATATTAAAATAAAAAACACATTTTTTTAATCTTTAGGAAAAAATATCCGTTGATGGCAAAAAAAAAGGGGGGGAGGGGAGGGAACAAAGGCCCAAACCCTGAAATAAAGCCCCCAAACCAAACTAACCTCTCATGCTTACGGAGTTATCCTCACCCCCATTCAAACCATGACCGGCGATACCACGTTTTATCCCAGCGATCACCAGGCTTTGTCTCCTCCCAACCTCCAAATAACGCTACGTTCCCTCTTCCATTCTCCCCTCTAATTACTCCTTCGTTTCCAATTCCCATATTCCCCTCCCCACTAGCATTTTTAATTCTAAGGTTTTAGGTTATATTTAACGTATAAGATGACGAATAAAATAAAATAATAATTATTATATATCATATTTAAATTGTATTTAAAGAAAAAGATAAAATATAAGGATGATTAATCATTTTCTTAACATAGCATAGTTCAATAAATCAATCCTCCAAAAGCGAAGAAGATTAGTTTTAATCCATATGATTGAACTTATAAATGTATTTGGTACATAAGATTATGATAAAATAAGATAATAAGATATTATGAATATGATTAAATTAAATAATATCATTCTATCATGTATTTGATATATGTAAGTATTAAAATAAGATAACTTATTTATTAGTCAAAATTATCCTTTCTCAAAATTTATATAATTTAAATTATTGATGTTATTTTTAAGGATACAATAAAAAATGTAAGTTTAATCTCATGGATTAAAAATAATTCTCTCTATTTTTAGAAGATTGAATCATCCTATACCAAGAGTATAATTAATCCTCCTTATAATCCTATTAATTTTTTTAGATACAAATCAAATATATCATAGGATGATTGTCATCATATCTTATCCATTATCCTATGCACCAAATATTACCGACATGTCTTATTATATCATTAAAAATTATATCAATAATTTAAATTATATAAATTTTGACTAATAAATAATTATACTATTCTAATCTTTACTTGCACACATCAAACACAAGATAGTATAATATTATTTAATCTAATACTAATCATAATATTATCTTATCTTATTTTATTATAATTTTATACACCAAACACTTTTAGCTCATTTATTTTTGTTCAGAAACTCAATTAATTTTTTAGTGTTCTTTTAATGCTATGAACGAATGAACTTCTTTTATTAGTAAGTTAAGCTATATTATGATTTTGAATGAAGAAATTATGTTGTTAATAATATCATTTCTTTTGGCAAGTAAAATTCAAGGAGCAATTTGGTTCCCTTCAACTTTTTGGGAAATTATTCACATTATTTTTAGTTTTAAGATTAAAGAAATGCTCAAATTAAAGCACTAATTTAAAATATTTGATATAGTTTTCAAAGTTTCGATGTTAATATACATATTTAATAACCATAGTTTATTTTAAAACCATGCTGAAAGCTTTTCAAGATAGTGAATTTGGGATGGAGGGCATGGTTTAACTTTACTAGATAATCTTTTGTTAATACGTCATTCAATGTTTGACTGTAAGATTGTTAAAAAATGCTCAGGCACAAAGAGTTGTATCCTTCATGATAGGAAGGGAGTGCCTGGTGTCTTTCCCGATGAGAAAGTATTTATAAAAAATTTGTTCCGCAATCATTTCTCAAGCACTGGGACCTTATGGACCTGTTTTATTTGTGAATGGTTAACGACAGATTTGGGGAATTACTATAAAATTTTGATGTTTTTAAGCTGTAATATAAATAACTACTACTCACTACTCTCGGTCTTGGAACATGTTTTTGGCTAAAAGCGCAACAGGATTAACTAGAAAAAAGATGATACTTTTGTAAATTCTTTTGAGGAGAAAATAGGAGAGAGGGTATCATAGCTTGCTTCAAGTCGTTGCATTAAATCCCGAAGGGGGATATTTAGGAAAGAATTGAAATTGCGGAGATCATGTATTTCCTTGGTTTACAAGTTACTGGTTCAGGTATCCTGTTTGTATGTTCTTTAAGTGGCAGTCATCCACTGATATTAATGGATGGGTTTTACATTTCAGATTGAAGAGGGTTCTGAAAACAGTGAGCAGCTCTTTGAAGATGATGGAAATGTGCATGAAATGGAAGGAAATGACCTTGAAATTGAAAGGAATGACCTTGAAATTGAAGGGAACGAGGTTGATATCAAGAGCAGTGGCCTTGAGATAGAAGGAAATGGCCTTGACCTTGAAAGCAATGGCCTTCAGAATGATTGTGACCAAATACTTGAGATTGAAGACAATCATGAAAGCAATGGGGATGATACAACTGCAATTGCTTTTGAAAGTGGCATATCTCAAGGAAAGGATCATCCGTCACCAGTTGTGAGAACGGAGTTTGAATCGTATGATGATGCTTATAATTATTATAACTATTATGCAACTATTATGCCAAGGAGCTAGGATTTGCAATCAGGGTGAAATCTTCATGGACAAAGCGTAACAGCAAAGAGAAACGCGGAGCTGTGCTCTGTTGTAATTGTGAGGGCTTCAAAACAATCAAAGAAGCAAAAAGTCGTAGGAAGGAAACAAGAACTGGCTGTCTTGAAAAGATAAGGTTGAGGTTAGTGGAATCTAATAGATGGAGGGTGGATGAAGTCAAACTGGAACACAATCACCTATTCAACCATGAAAGGGCGCAAAATTGTAAAGTCATACAAGAAGATGGAAGCTGTAGCCAAAAGGAAGGTGGAGCCAACTATGGATGTAGAAGCACGGACAATCAAGTTGTATCGTACACCTGTGGTTGATCCACTGGGTTATGGAAGCTCAAACTCGCTCGAAGGAGAAATTAGTAAGAATGTTGACCGTTCTAAATGCTTGAAGCTTAAAAAAGGAGATTCCCAAATTATTTACAATTATTTTAGCCGCATTCAGCTTACTAATCCAAATTTTGTTTACTTGATGGATCTCAATGACGAAGGGTATCTAAGGAATGAGTTTTGGATAGATTCTAGGTCTATGGCTGCATATGTCTACTTTGGTAATGTGGTCGCATTTGATACGACCTTGCTTGTCAAAAAAATATGAGATTCCTCTCGCTGTATTTGTTGGAGTAAATCATCATGAACATTGTATCTTGTTGAGCTGCGGTTTACTTGCTGATGACACATTTGAAACATACGTTTGGTTTTTTAGGGCATGGGTTACCTGTATGTTAGGTCGCCCTCTGCAAACCATAATCACAGACCAGTGCAGGGCAATGCAAGGTGCAATTTCTGTGGTGTTTCCCAAGGCGCACCATCGACTGCATTTGTCACATTTCATGCAAAGCATTCTTGAGAATTTGGGAGAGTTGCAGGAATCTGGTGTCTTTCAAATGATATTAAATAGGACAGTCTATGACTCTTAAAGGGTGGATGAATTTGAAATTGGTTGGGATGATATGATTCGGCGGTTTATAATTGCAGACAATGCATGGCTTCGTACTCTGTATGAGGAAAGAAAGCGATGGGTTCCGGTTTACCTTAAAAGATACACTTTTTGCTGGAATGTGCACTTTCCAGAATGGGAGTCCATGAGTTCATTTTTTGATGGCTATGTGCATAAGCAAACTTCTTTGAAAGAATTTTTAGACATCTATGAATTAGTTTTGTAAAAAAACCATAAAAAGGAAGCATTCGATGATCTTGAATCAAGAGGTTCAAGTCCCATGTTGAAAACAAGATGTTATTATGAATTACAGCTTTCAAAGTTGTATACAAACGAAATATTCAGGAGGTTCCGAGATGAGTTTGTGATGATGCCTTCTTGTTTCAGCATAAAACAAGTTCATGCTAACGGACCTGTTATAACATACCTGATTGCAGAACGTGAGGGTGGAGATCAGAGGGATATCAGGAACTTTGAAGTTATGTACGATAAAGCTGGATCGGAAATTCATTGCATATGCAGTTGCTTGAACTTCAACGGGTACCCTTGCAGGTATGGTTTGTGCATCCTTAACTTTAATGGTTTGGAAGAAATCCCCTTTCAGTATATCTTCTTGCGATGAACGAAAGATTTTAAGCGCTTATAAATACCAGATCTTCGATCCAATAACGTTGATATTACCAACCCAGATATCCCAAGACCATTACATGGTTGCATGGGAAGCGTTTAAAGTATCTCGTGGCAGACAAGCATGTATAGCTAACAATCCATAGTAACCTACACAATTCTTTGTGGCATCTCTAAATCTCTTACGTGCATGTTTCTACACAGAAGTTCTTCAGCATCCAATCTAGCTATGTCTCGCATAATCTTTCTCCGTACACATTTTGGGGGAATATAAACAAATATTGTTATGTTTACGATCTGTTCATTTAATTAACGAAATACAAAATGTTATTCATTGTCATTTTTTAAATTTAATAAATAAACAAAAATAAATATAAATTATATTTATAAATTATTTGTCAAATATTCCATTATTTAACATTTTCTAATCTAAACAATTAAAAAAAATCATTATATTTGTAATATATTCATTTAATTAAAGAATTTTTTAAATAAATATTTATTATTATTTATTAAGTTTAATAAATGAAAAAAAAAAAAAACTAAGCCCATATAGTAACGGTCTATTTGTTTATATCAATTTCCATATTCGCGCACAGAAACAAAGTAAAATGCCGTAAAGCATTTATCTGGATTTGCTTTTGGTTCTGACAAATTTTGTTTTGGTTACAATTTAATTTAAAAATAAAAAAAAAGGCTCAGATTGAATGTATTTTAGGAAGTAAGTCATACTGAAATTTACAGTAAAAATATCAATGAACAATAATTAAAAAAAATAAATATGGCCTTTCTGCCATTAAAATAAACTGCTATCAAATGGGCCAATAAGCCTATAAAAATAATCTATTAGACGCAGTCCAAGTACTTTACCTTTTCGTGATACCCAAATCGCCCTTCTCCACATCCTAAGGCGGCCGACCGCTGATCCTCTCTTTCTTCATTTTTCAAATCCACCATTTCTGTTGGTTACTCCTTTCTTCTGTTCTGCTCCAATTTGAGGCTCAGATCAGCAACACAGGACCAGAACGGCGACACTCTTTCATACCCAGGTTAGCCTTTAAGTCTCTCCCGTTCTTTTCTCCTATCCCTCGTTTTATTTTTTTTTTCTCTTCTAATTGGATTGTCATGCTCAATTTTGACCTGTAGCTTTTGTTAAACAATAATAATATCCATAATTTACTTATTGAACCAAATATTGAGGTGGGTTCATTTTATTTTCTCCATTTTCCCTTTGTTCCCTTTTGCCTTGTATTTTGGATTATACGTGAACACCATGTTTGAAATATGAGCTTTTCTTTTCTTTTTTTTTAAAATGCATAATAGATGGAAGAAGAAGAAGCTCCTTCTTGTAATGATCGATTGCCTGAGGGAAAATGCGACGGCGAGAATCTAAAAGAAAGAGATAATGAACCAACTGAATTATTAGATGGTGAAAATGGTTTGCCCGAAGGAAAGAAAGAGTTTGTTGCTCCAGCTGTTGGAATGGAATTTGAATCTTATGATGATGCATATAATTATTATAATTGCTATGCTAAGGAAGTTGGATTTCGTGTTAGGGTTAAGAATTCATGGTTTAAGCGGAATAGTAGGGAGAAGTATGGTGCTGTACTTTGTTGTAGTAGCCAGGGTTTTAAAAGAATCAAAGATGTTAACCGTCTTCGAAAGGAAACTAGAACTGGTTGTCCTGTTATGATGCGGATGAGAGTCATGGACTCGAAAAGATGGCGGGTGCTTGAGGTTACACATGAACATAATCACTTATTAGGTGCCAAGATTTATAAATCTACTAAGAAAATGGGCTCTGGACCGAAAAGGAAGTTGCAATCAAGTTCTGATGCTGAAGTGCGAACAATCAAGTTGTATCGAGCTTTAGTGATAGATGCTGGGGGTGATGGGAATCCAAACAGCAATGCAAGGGAAGTTAGGAACTTTTCTGAACATCCAAATCAGCTCAATCTTAAAAAGGGTGATTCGCAAGCCATTTATAACTACCTTTGTCGTATGCAGTTGACCAACCCAAACTTCTTTTACTTGATGGATTTGAATGATGAAGGGCATTTGAGGAATGTATTATGGGTTGATTCGCGATGTAGGGCATCTTTTGGCTACTTTGGGGATGTCATTTATGTTGACAGCACATGCTTGGCAAATAGATATGAGACTCCCCTTGTGGCACTTGTTGGAATAAATCATCATGGCCAAACCGTGTTGCTGGGTTGTGGCCTGCTTGCTGGTGAGACAGCAGAGTCTTATACTTGGTTGTTCAAAGCATGGCTTGCATGTTTGTCAGGACAGTGTCCTCAAACCATTATTACAGACAGGTGCAATGCTTTGCAGAATGCAATTGCAGAGGTGTTTCCCAAATCGAATCATCGGTTCAGTTTGTCACACATAATGAAAAAAGTTCCGGAAAGATTGGGAGGATTGCGTAATTATGATGCAATTAGGAAGACATTTGTTAAGGTAGTTTTTGAAACACTGAAAGTAATTGAATTTGAAGCAGCATGGGGATTTATGGTCCAGCATTTTGGTGTCACTGACCATGAATGGCTTCGATCATTATATGAAGATCGAGCTCGGTGGGCTCCAGTTTATCTAAAGGACACATTTTTTGCTGGACTGTCTGCTTCAAGGCCTGGTGAGAATGTAAGTACCTTTTTTGATAAATATGTGCACAAACAAACTCCTTTGAAAGAATTTCTTGATAAGTATGAATTAGCATTACAAAAGAAGCACAAGGAAGAAACTCTTGCTGATATTGAATCAAGAAACTCCAGCCCGGCATTGAGAACAAGATGCTCTTTTGAGTTGCAACTCTCCAAGTTGTACACGAGAGAAATTTTCAAGAGATTCCAATTTGAGGTAGAGGAGATGTATTCTTGTTTTAGCACAACGCAATTACATGTTGATGGGCCTATCATAATATTCTTGGTCAAAGAGCGAGTGTTGGCTGAAGGAAATAGGAGGGAAATTAGGGATTATGAAGTACTTTATAACAGAACAGCCAGTGAAGTTAGATGCATTTGCAGTTGCTTTAATTTCTATGGGTATCTATGCCGGCATGCATTGTGTGTGCTTAACTTCAATGGTGTGGAGGAGGTCCCTTCCAAGTACATTCTCTCACGATGGAAAAAAGATTACAAGCGCTTATATATACCAGATCAATGTTCCGATAATGTTGATGCCGATGATCGCATGCAATGGTTTAATCAGTTATATAGAAGTGCCTTGCAAGTTGTGGAGGAGGGTGCAATTTCTTTAGACCATTACAAAGTTGCATTGCAAGCTTTTGAAGAGTCATTGAATAGAGTTCATGAGGTAGAAGAAAAGCCAGATTAACCTTCACTGTGAAGGTACATGATTTTTTGTAAATAAAATTGGTGCCTTCTGTCTTAATCCACTCATCCTTTGTCATTGAGGTTTGGTTAAATATCTCCTTTATGCAGAGCACTAGCCTAAATGGTTTAGCATGTATATAATTTATGATAAATTTGTATTATTAACCATATTCCAAAGGGTTTCCCACCCTCATTTGTTCCTTTATAGATATAACAGTACTAGTTTTTCTTGGAAAAGAAAGGGAACTCGATTACTAATCTTGTGTGAGAGTTTAATAAGATGTAATGCATGTTCCTTGCAAAGTTCTGGAAACATGGAGAGACCTTTTATTGTCATCATGAGATATTTCCATGCAGGTTTAAGGCTTTGAAGAATCTTTGAGTAGATTCATAATGAAAGAAGCCAGAATGTCATTTTTTGAACTTGCTGTGTGTCTATGCCAAACTGTATGTGAGAAATCACATGCACACACAGACATGAATGTTGAGAGAGTTAATATTCATATGAAGTTTCGATTAACAGTTTCTGCGAATATGAATGATGGACATTTATATTTATGAGTTCTATTAAGATGCAAGCTTCTGAAGACATGCAGAGAGGTTTATGTGATCGTTATGAGATGTAGCCATATGTGTTTAATAAGCCTTTGCAGAAATCTAGGAGTAGAATTCCTGATGGGAGAAACCCAGAATAATGTCCCTTTTTTTTTTTTTTTTTCTTTTGAGGGGGTTCTGATACAAAGCAATATTGGACTCATGGGGAAAAAAGTTAATGTGCACAAAAGATGCACAGCAATAATGTGACTACACATTTAAAAAGGTTTCTATGAAATCGTCACCATATGTCAATGTATTTTTTTCTCTTCGAATTATGCTACGCTTTTATGGTCATGAAAATTTTTAATTATTTACTCTACAGGCATTTTGGAACGTTAGGCATTCCATGAATTCGATTTTATGAGAGTTATTATGAAATTTTGATGTGGCTTAATCACACAAAATTAAAATTTTTTAAATATCATGTATATCAATAATTATCATTAAATCCTCGTAAATTAAATTTATGTAAGCAAATCAGACCTATCCATAATTATTATTTATTTTTGTCAACTATTATACAAGTTACTTAAGTTAATGAGGTGATTATTTTGAATCTTTTAATATTTAAGTCACTCCCAAACCTAATTGTCTAGCTTAGCCTACCTCTTTCATCATTTTGAAGGACCTATATAAAAGAATATTATAAAGATTGGCTTTAAATGCAATTAATAAAGTATTAGGGTCCTTTAAACAAAATTTGCCCTCTAGTGAAGACAAAATCCTTCTGTCAGTCTGTCTCGAGAAAGGAAAAGGATTGTACTAGTAATACGCTTTTTTAACTGTGTTCTCAAAGACATTGAAAGATCATTTCTTCAACCAGTTTTCTGGTAAGTCCACGTATTTTTCAGAAATTTTCTAAGCTCCAATTTTGCTTTGAATAGGGTAAATTCCGTTCATTTCTTTCTCTCTTATCTCTCTTTTGTATTTGGGTTAATCTGTTAATCAAGATACATTTTACCCGTTCTTCTATCAAATTTGAGTTGTTCTTTGAAAAGGGTATTCACACTGAGTTTAAGCTTTAAGAATTTCCTTATTTATATGGGAGCCCATTAGCACAACTTAATAATTTTAGAGTAGATGGCTAGGTATTTGTAAAGAAAAGAAAGAAAATTTGCTACTGGATTTAATCCCATCATGCTGCTTTTATGCCTAGTTGAATACTTTTTTTCTCATTGATTTAAATGTATCAGCTCCTGATTGTTCCATATAATCCTTGTTGTTAACTTGCAAAAAAAGAGGTCTCAGCGCTTGGGGCTTTGATAATGGAAATTTGTCCTGTTGTTAATGTAAAATTGGTGCAATACATAATTCGGCTGATTGATGTGGTGAACACCCTAATGTTGTAGCTACTCATACATTACCTACTCATCAAACTCCAAAACATATCATCTTGGCAGTTGTTATCGATGATTCTGTTATGCCGCGAGAATATATTTGGAATATAGCTTGCTTTATATTATTTTATCACTTGTTTAGATGTTTTGCTTATTGGTGGATATTTGATTCTACTCTTTTTACAGATGGATGAAGTTTCTCTTAATACCGATCCTGTTGTTGGTGATGATGCTGATGAATTTTAGATTGAAGGAGATTGCGGAATGACGGAATGTATTAGTCAAATTGGTGTAATTCAAGGAGAGAATCCGCTGCCTCCTGCCATTGGAATGGAATTTGATTCTTATGAGGATGTGTATTACTTTTACAATTGTTATGCCAAGGAACAGGGATTTAGTGTTAGAGTAAGCAACACGTGGTATAGAAAGAGCAAAGAACGATATAGAGGCAAACTTAGCTGCAGTAGTGCAGGATTCAAGAAGAAGAGTGAAGCAAACCGCCCAAGACCAGAAACAAGGACTGGGTGCCCTGCGATGATAAAATTCAGATTGATGGAAAATAAAAAGTGGAGAATCATAGATGTTGAGCTTGACCATAACCATTTGATCAGCCCTGCCAGTGGAAAATTCTATAAGTCCCATAAGCACATAGGTCTTGGAACCAAAAGAGCACTGCAGTTAGATGGTGCCAAAGAAGTTCAAAAAATTAGGCTTTTCTGAACAGTGATTCTCAATGTTGAGGGAGATAGAAGTGCAGAAGTCATTGATGGAGAATTCAGGACAACTCATAACCAATCCAAACAATTGAGGCTTAAAGAAGGAGATGCACAAGCTATTCATAATTATTTTAGCCACTTGCAGTTAATTGATCCAAACTTCTTTTATGTAGTGGATCTCATCGAGAAAGGATGTTTGAGGAATTTATTCTGGATCAATGCAAGGTCTAGAGTTGCATTAGGTTACTTTGGTGATGTAGTTAAAATTGACATTACATGCTTGACAGACAAATATCAAGTACCACTAGTTTCATTCATTGGGGTGAAACATTATGGACAGTCTGTGCTGTTGGGTTGTGGTTTACTTGCAGGCAAGACTATTGAATCCGATACATGGTTGTTTAGGGCTTGGCTTACATGCATGTTAGGACGCCCTCCACAGGTTATCATCCAAATGAGGTTGTTGAGTCCTTTTTTATGGTTATCTCGATAGACATATTTCTTTGAAAGAATTTTTGGATAAGTATGATCAAGCCCTACAGGCAAATCATCAGCTGGAAGCTTTGGCAGATATGAATTCAAGAAATTCAGGTTTTATGCTGAAATCAAGATGCTACTTTGAGTTACAGCTTGCCAAATTGTATACAAACGATATATTAAGGAAGTTTGAACAGGAGGTGGAGGGAATGTACTCATGTTTTAGCACAAGAGAAATAAATGCTGAGGGAAACGTAATAATGTACATGGTCAGGGAACAAATCGAAGTAGATGGAAACAGAAGGGAGACTAGGGGCTTTGAGGTTTTGTATAATGCAACTGAAATGGAGGTACTTTGTGTTTGCGGTTTGTTTAATTTCAGAGGATATTTGTGCAGGCATGTGCTGAGCATCCTTCACCAAAATGGCATCGAGGAGATCCCACCTCAATACATTCTATCAAGATGGAGAAAAGATATCAAGCGGAGTTATGTTCTTGGTCACAGCTGTGGTGGTATTGATATTAACAACCCGGTTCATAGGTATGATCATCTGTACAAATGCGTTATGCAGGTTATTGAGGAAGGCAGGAAATCGCAAGATGGTTACAAGGACACAGTTCAAGCATTAGACCAGATATTAAGCAAGCTACATCTTGCAGAGGGTCATTTGTAAATATTTTTTAGATCCAAGATCTGTGATGTTGTGTTCTAGAAGTAAATATTTGGAGAAGATTGAGTGTTTTGTCTTTTGGCAAAATGGATTCTTGAAATTGGCATAAGAGTTGCACTGGTTTGCTTTGCATTTTAGTTTTCAACTATGGTTGAGAGGTTTTGCATGTGACTTGAGACATCAAAGATCAACTCGAACTTAAAAAGAAAAGAGTTATGGAGCTCAGAAGCGCTGTTGTTTCGTCTGAAGATCAGAGAATCATGAAGGACCCACCATCACGAGCGCAATCAACATCACGGCTCCTACAATGCACCAGCCGGGAATCGAACCCGGGTCTGTACGTGCAGGGTACTATTCTAACCACTAGACCACTGGTGCATTTTGACGAGTGTGGAAATATATAATTTTATTAATAATCATACTAAATTATCTAATTCCTACGCCCATAAAGCGCAAAAATGGAACTTCAAACCTATTTTTCACTCCATTTATGGATACTAGCGTCTAAGGGATTGTTTGAGGTAAATAATTTCTCAAGTTTGCATTATAAAGATGGAATTAAAAATATCGAAATGTGTTATATTTGTATTTATGTATAGAAGGTATCATTTGTACATACAAAAGAAACATCATAATTTTGTGAGAATTAAAAGTTAATATTTTTTATTCCTTTAATTCATATATATTTATTGAAACATAAAGCTCCAATTTCATGAAAAAGAAAAGAAGTAATAACCAATAAAGAAAAAATAATTTTTTTTTAAAATTATAAATGAAAAATAAGCCACATAAAAAAAAAATTCTCAAAGCCTGTTGAAAATTTAATCTGTGTATTTGAATTTTGAGCAATAAAAGTATAATAAGCCTGTTGGATTTGTAGGAACTAGACAGACTAGCCCCATAAATTCATAACATGACCAGAAGATGAAAATCAACCCATTGACCCTATTATTTTTAAGGCATGCTACTGATAAAAAAAACCAAAGATTAGGACATACTTCTAGTCTTAGAGAGATTTACAGATCATCTATAAAAAAAATTATTGTTGATAGTAAAAATCGAACCTAAATTTTCGGTACAAAGTTATTCCAATATATTTTACCATTGCCAATGCCAATCTGGTATCCCATTATGGCCAAACGTGCAGCAGGGAAAATTCACCTCTGAAATATACCTATCTGCCCCTTGAAGTTCACTCCATCTCTTTTACATAATAATATGACCATTTAGATTGAGATGTACAAATCTCTTGTAGCAAGGCAGAATAACCCAACTGGAAAAGGTTGCAAAATAGTCGTGCCTAGGCTGCCAATTACTCAACAGATTTAAAAATAAGTTATATAAGGAAAGAATGCATCAAATAAAGGGAGCTTAAAAACACCACAAAAGATAATTATTTGAATCTAAGGAATTGATTCACTGAATCCAAGAATGATGTCAATTCCATGATTAGTTAATCCGAATCCTATAAAACATCTAATGAAAATATGAAAGGGAATAGGATTTATAATGACACGAGACACAACTAAGAGACCTATCTACTGTATCCTGTAAAAGATGAAAACAAAATCTATACCTAGAATTCCATCCTCACACTTGCATTGGTACTCTGTGATGCTCCATACTGGAGCCAATCCTTTGCACATATCAGAGCTTCAAGTGTCACCGGACGCAATGAGCTGCGGTAATTATCCATCTTTTTTCTGTGTGTGTCAAAAACAGAATCCGGACCAACAGTCGAAAATGGTATTGACAAAATGTCAGAAGCCATCCTCGAGAGAGTGGGATACTTTGTCTGGTTTAGTTTCCACCAGCCCAAAATATCAAAATCTTGTATCCGAGGCAAAAGAGACTCTTCAAGATATTGATCCAATTCTGATTTCATCAGCTGGCTACCACTGATCTCAGAGATATATACCTCAAAATCTGAGAGTCCATCTCCAATAGAAATAAGAGGATCTAGAGAAGGTATTTCTTGAGGGGCTATTTCCTGATGGGATATTTCTTGAAGAGCTATTTCTTGATGAGCTACTTCCTGATAAGATACTTCTTGAGGTGGTCCCCCTTGAAGGTATCCTTCTTCAGGTGGTCCCTCTTGAAGGTATCCTTCTCGAGGTGGTCTCTCTTGAAGGTATCCTTCTTCAGGTGGTGCCTCTAGAAGGTATCCTTCTTCAGGGGGTTCAGTTTTGGGGATGAGGCCCCCATTCCGTTCTTCCACAAATGTTTCAGGCGGAGAGAGTGCTTGTGCAATATATTCAAGGTAGAGCTCATGAATACCATCATCAACAATCTTAATCCACATTCCAGCATCCTCACCATATATCCTAGAGAAGCTAAACTCAACAAGTTTCATTTTGAATCTTGGATCCATTATCACAGCAACAGCCAAAACTAAGAAGCAGTCACTCCAGTATCTATCAAACTTCTCCTTCAAAGGTTTGGTCAAGTTGCTGATGAAGGGGTCATTGTTCATTGCTGCATGCGTCAACTCTAATTGAACTTTTGACACTTCATGGTAGAATGCACTGGCAGTCGGGTATGTTGGGGCACTTAAAATACTGACAGCATCGAAGAAAAGCTTCAAGTATCTGCAGAGAATTTCCACCTGCTTCCAATCATCCATTGATGGGGCTATGTTATAATCAGGAATAGAGGTTTCCAAGCAAAGAAATACTTGCTTTAGTTCACAGGCAGCCACCAACATGTCATATGTTGTGTTCCATTTTGCTTGGTCATCAATGAATATGTCTTTCATGCTAGGGACTTTAAGTTGTTCCCTCAGATGAAAAAATGTCTCTTCATGAGTATCAGAAGTTTTCACAAACTTGACACTTTCTCGGATTTTCTTCACAGTTTCCCCCACAGCCCATAGCACCTCTTGTGCAAGAAGACTTATAACACGAGCAAAGCAATTTCCAACCAATAACTGACCATGAAACATATAAGGGTTCCTCACGGAAAATAGGGCTCTCAGACTTCCATTTATGTTTTCATTTGTGAACTGATCAAGAGTGAGGGTAAATAGCCTATTCTCCAAATGCCAATCAGATAGGCAGGACACAACAGCTTGCTGTAACGCACTGTCTGAATCAAGAGAAGGTACCATGACTACATTAAGCAGGCAGCGATGCAAATTCCATTCACTATCAATGTATTGTCCTGTTAGGAAAACATAGCCCACAGTTTGATTTGAAATGCACAAATCTAATGTAAGGCTGACTCGTCCTGGAATTTTGCTGATAAAAGTGAGAAGGCTTTGCTTCTCTTTCAGGTACATAGCAACACAATCTCCCTGAATAGTATTGAAGCTCACCATATTGAACTGGGGTTGAAGAGTCTTCACAAAATCAATAAAACCAGGGTGTTCCACGATGTGTATGGGATACTCATGCAGTATGATCATCTTAGCTATCTCATGGTTGCACCGTTCCTGGTTAAACGGAATGTTTGCATATCCAGGAGTTGCTCGGTACCTTTTTTTTGGTTCATCAGTAGCATTACTAGTTTTAGAGTCTAGTGTCTGTTGATTTCTGTTACGGCTCACTGGGCAGATTCCCAAGGCAATGTGTCTTTTAAGGTGGCTAGTGCCAGCTAGCTTTGAACCAGAAATGTATGCAAATGATTTCTTGCAATGATTACAGCAGGCCCTGATACATCCATCTCCTACAGTCTCCACAGTAAAATGGTCCCAGACAATAGACTTCTTCCTCCTACGTTTATTGGGCTGTACTTCAGAACTAAGTGGCTCATTATTGTCAGTAGGAGTAATAGGTGTAACAGGCATGGTAACAGGAATGGTTGCAGTCTCCATCTCACCTGCAAAACAGAAGACACAGCAGATGATAAGTTCTCATTTACATCAATTATGCACAGAAATTGTCATTGGAAAAACACAAGGCAGACCGCATGAAGACAGCGTTTTATAGCAGACAGACAAGACTGGTAAAAAATGATTGCTAATATCCAAGTCAAATTTTGATATTTTACATTAGAGTCACTCATAGAACAAAGACAGCTTCCTAGATGTCTTCATTCCAATCTCATATGGTAATAGGTTCTCCTCTACAAGATAATAGTTATTCATATTACAGAATAACAAACCAGAAGCTCATGTGTTAGCTAATTTCTATGATCCTGACATAGATATTAGTAGCTTGAACATTATTAAGAGATGGCCTTGAGGAATGAGCAATTTTAATATTGAAAGGTAAGAAAAACCGGCAGCTTGCCATGTTGACACTACAAATTCATTGATCTTAACAATTGGGAAAAAAGCAATATTGTGAACATTAAATAGAGGATTATAATTCTACCATAAACAAAATCGGATGTGTTTTAGCCCGAAAAAAAAGTTGGAATTTGATATACACCAAGCATTTGATAGATAACATAGTCAATACAGAAGCACAATATTAGCAATTGCAGAAATGCTTACATATACGAGTACAAAGAAAATTTTGAAACTATGCCTGCTCCAAGTCAAGACACTTCACATTCATTAGACTTAGTAACTCAATCGCAAAGCCTAAAACAGACCAGTTTATTCCCAATTCTAGATATGAAAGTACAAATTAAATAAACAAGAAAAACACTAGTCCAAATCCAATCACCCTTCTTATTCTTTTTTTGCTACTTGGCGGGATCAAACACAGGTTTTATATCTAAAACTGCCACCACACTTTATTGAAATTGCCCAGTTTGATGGGCTACTCTTATGGGCGGCAAAGCCTACTAGAAATGCATAAGCAACAGGTTTAATGTACAATCCAGCCGAAGAGAACTAAATCCACAAGTCCATCAACCCAAAGACATAAAATCCCAACCTCTGCAAGACCTTACTTGTACTTTGTCCTAAGGGGGCGTTTGGCTCAAGGGAAACTTAGTTGTATTTTGGTTTTTAATTTACAAATGTAGTATTGAAAACAAATAGCACAAATACTACGTTTCTTAGTAGCACAAATACTGCATTTCTTAGAAGCTTAACATAGTATTTGAGTACTATTTTTTTTCCAATTACAAATAGATGTTTTTAGGGAACCAAACGCAATAATTGTGAATTAATTTTTTTTGAAATTTTTTTAATACAATGACGACATTTTTTATGAACAAAATGTCATCTATCATTTTTTTTTCAATGTCATAGAACATTTCTAGAGAATCAAATGCATTAATAGTAGTTTTTTTTTTTTTTTTGAAATTTTTTTTAATACAACAATGATGGTTTTTGATGAACCAAACATCGCTGTCATTATTATTATTGGAATTAAAACAAATAGCTTTGAGGATTTCTTTTTCTTTTATCTTTCTATCTATCTATCTATCTATCTATCTATATATATATATATATAAAGTAAGCAAATTAAATACAATTCATAAGGTATCAAAGATCTCTTATAAACACTATCAACCTAATAAACACTATCAACCTATCTAGAGCTGACACATAATGGCAGGAAGGCATGGTCTCGGGATAACTTCAAGCAGAGTTTTCTCAAATTCGACGTTTTCTAACATGAAAACATCGTAGTATTTATTTTCATGTTTGTTCTATATCAAATAGGACATTTTCTAACATGGAAACGTTATAGTATTTGTTTTCAATTTTTTTCCTACTCCAAATAGGACGTTTTCTAACATAGAAACGTCATAGTATTTGTTTTCATTTAATGTTTTTCACCATGGAAACATTGTAGTATTTGTTTTTAATTTTTTTCTATATTAAATACGATGTTTTTGTATTCATGATATTTTTTAATAAAATAAACTATATTTTATTTTAAATTTTGCTCGTCAGCCACTATGTTATATTTAACAAAAATGATATATTTGACATGTAATGAAGGATATTATTGTAAAAAGATTTTATTAAATAATTTGACTTTCTCCAATCAAACATGGAAATCTAACATACCCATATCAAGAAAAATCACCCTTGCCAGCAATCCACACTTTCCCGTAGATACTTTAAGATTCTGCAAACTAAGCGACACGAAAATATACCTTTGTGCTAAAAAAAAAAAAAAAAAACCTTCGTTTGACAATTTATAAATTGAGAACCTCCAAAAAACAGGGTAACAAAACACGACTGTTTCCCAGAGGATTAATGAGCAAAACAAAACCTCCATCACTGCTCCGTTTTTTTTTTTTTTCATTCAGAATTGGAGCCCCAAACTCCAATGAAAATCCATTGCAACATAAACAGGAAACAACTATCAGTCTGTCACGTACTAAAAAATACCCAGAGAAAAGGGCTGAACAAGCAATTACGCAGAACTTTTACGTAAAAAACCAAAAAACTGATTGAAAGAAGCACATGAAGCAGAACAAAAACCAAGTATACAAACTCCATAGCTAGAGAAGCAGAAAAGTAATATATAAACCACAAAGAAGACTGTTTTTGAGCGAAACCCATGAACGCCAAGAATCAAAAGCCTCGAAAAAATCTATTATTCCCGATAACCCTCAGACCGAAAAAACCCATAAACAAGCCTTCAAAATACAAAATTACATAAAAATATACAAAAAACCCAACATATAAATCAAGCGTTGAAAAGAGTTCATACCTTGTTTCACCGGCAAAACCATTGAAGCATATCCAAAACAAGAAGGTTTTAGATATAGTTTTCTATTTTCTGAAATTGAAGGAATTAAAAGAATAATATTTTAAATTTTGGGTAACAGAGGGAACCGCAAAGGAGGAAGAGAAAGGAGAAGACGAAAGGAGGTTAATTGGGCTTGAGCAGCCGAACGCAAAAAAGTTTAGAGCTTGAAGTTTAGAGCAGTGAGAGAAAAACAAAACCCTAAAATAGGAATTGGACCAAGGGCTAGGGCTAAAAAATTCAAAAGAGATATCGAATTTTAGGCCTTCCTAATGAGGGGCGACTGGGCGAGGGCAGGGACGAAGGGGGCGCATTTATACAAGGAAAGAGAAAACGTCGTAATTGGATATGGACTCAAGGTCCAATTTTTTTTTACTGTGGAGCCGGTGCTACTGTACTTTTCATGGACTTATTCAGCCCACCTAACCGCTTGATTTAATATTGACCGTTCCTTTTTTTTTTTCTTTTTTTTTTCTTTCTAAGGACCAATTAGAGGGCACCACTTGAGGCGCAAGTGCATCATTTATGTAAATTATTCAAATGCCTTGTTTGAAAAGGAAAAAAAAATTAAGTCTAAATCCCTAAATTAAAAAAAAATATCAAAATTATTCTCTAATTAATACTAAACGCGCGTCATTGCGTTACCAAATTTTTTTATTTAAGTTTATTAATTTTTTAAATTATATTTTTTAAATATCTTAATTAATATAATTAATTAAATCTCTCAAAAGTTCATTTTAATAAAATGAAATGTAATGTAAATACATATATGCCCCCAGTGAAAAGTTAGTTTCATCTTACAAAATTTATATTTAAAAAAAAATTAAAATATGAATATAATTTTCATGCATTATATATCATTTCTCATAAAAGAAGTATGCTATATATAAAATAAGTAAATATTTCACATTTATTATTAATTTAATTAAGTATATTATTTTTATGCTTTCATCTTTTTTTAAATTATAAAATAATAATATGATAAAATATATTTTTAATAAAATATATAGTTTATTGAAATAGCATATAAACATAAAAATTAATAAAATTTACATTATAATTAATATAATTGTATATTTTATTCTTTATTGTCATGAAATTAATAATTTATTTATATTTATTATATCCTAGACCTCTAGAAGTACGTAAACGTAGCTTTAATCCATAGGCCAGCAATGAACATAAAACAATATCAACAAAGGTCCCTACATTACAAACGTAGCAAAAATACGTTTTCACAGCCCATTCATGAAAATGTGACCCATTTCAAGTTGACAACAGTGTGAAACTTGAATATCGTCAACGGTACTTATAGTGGTGGCAGGGGCAAAGAATCTGTAAGAGAACCCTAATTATAATCCCTAAATTTACCAAAACAAGTAAAAAAATTAAAATTATTTTTGTATTTTCAAAATGAAAATGGAATAATAAATTGAAATAAATAAACAAAGCTAAATTTATGAAAAGAAAAAAAAAACAAGATCCATTCAGCATGCACCTTTTCAAAATTAAAATGATCCACTGCCTAAAAGAGTTCTAAATTCAAAAACGAGAAGCTAATTCACCAAAAAAAATTGATAAAGAAAAGGATTTGATAAATAAAATGATAAATTTTGAAGTCGATACTAAATCAATCCTCGGATACAATTGAAAAATACAATTTAAAAGTTAAAACTCTAGATGAATTGATAATTAACAAAAAAATAGCTGCAATAGATGTTACTCGATATCTTGGAATTATAAGGTTTAGGCTTGAATGCGAGGGATAGAATGAGAGAATACTTGCCTCGTTAAGCTTTGTGGCTGTTTGGCTGGAAGGAGAATTGGCGAAAGGAAATTTTCAGGTGGAGAGAGAGACCGCCGGAGGCCAAATTGTTGCTGCCGACGATGAATTGGATGAGAAATGAAATTAGTTAATTAGACCTGCCGACGATTCTCACAAAAATGAAATTAATGAACAAGATTTTTTCTTTTTCTTTGGGTTTTTTAACATTTTAAAACCGAACATTTTAGACTTTTTGATCAAGTAGAGTTTGAGATTGCTTTAACGTTTATTTACTTTTAGTATTGTGATATTTAATAAATTTTAAATTTAAATTTAATATTTATATTTTTTTTTTTGTAAAAAAGAAACTATTAAAGTGAAGATCATATTTTCAATCGGCCTTTCACTAAATTCACAATTTACTTAATATATTCGTATTAACGTGGTTAGTGAGAATTATTTAACAAATTAAAACTAAAGAAAATTAAGCTTAATGACGTCCGCCTATGTACCTCTGTGTACTTTAAAATTCATCATTATTTATACCTGAAATTTTAAATCGGGACACCAATTTAGTGAAATCAATTAGAGAGGGATACAATTAATTTCACAAAATTCACAAGAATTTATATTTAAATAATTTTATTTATTTTTCAAAAAATATATATTCATAAAATTAATTATTGCAAAACTTTATATTAGTAAGATAAATTTGTGAAGATCAAGCTTCGAATCCTCACAAAAATATTAAATTAATGAACATCATATGTTTACTCGCAGTAAAATAACTTTCAATAAGAGTCAAAATACACCTCTTACTAAGAATCAAATGAATGTCATTGATGGTCTCACTATAAGAGGACTTTTAATGAGGGCCAGCACGTGAGCCTCACTAAAATTCTCATCAAAACATAATTTTCTTGCAGTGATATGGTGTTTTAATTAACTAAAATGAATGAGCTCGAATCAAGTCAAGTTTCTAAAGGTTTGTGAGTAATTTTGTTCACTTTCTCCCAGGAAAAAAAAATTTAAAAACAAAAATCACTTATAGTAACAAGAATCAACTTTTATTATTTTAATTTCAGGTAATAATTGCCACCTTTGTCCAAATGAGTTTTTATAGGTTTATCTAGCAAAAGTTTAGGTTAATTGTTGAAATATCTATTTCTTCCTGTTGCTTTGTGTATGCAATATTTTGTATTTAAAAACAGAATTTTGGTGGAATAAAAGAAAATCAGCTCACAGAAATAAAACTCTTTAATCACCAACGATAATTAGATCACTATTTTGGAAGTCGATCTAATTTTTATAAAATAAAAAAATTTATCATCGAGATAAAGTAAATTATAAAATTAACTATATTAATTAATATTATGTATTGACTAAAATAACTAAAAAGTTATGAATTTTACTATTTTACTTAGATAAACTTTTATACTTTTATTACATTAAAAATTTTTTTAATTTTTAATTTGTATTCAAATAAGCTTTTAACTTTTAATTTATATCCAGATAAATTTTTAATCTTTAATTTATATTTAAATAAATCATTAATCTTTAATTTGTACATCGTACCTAAATAAATCTTAAATGTAAATCAATCTTTTATTTGAAATGCAAACTTATTTGGATATAAATCAAAGAATAAAAAATTTATTTGAGTACAATAAAATATAAAAATTTATTTTTAAAAAATAATTTAAATGCTTTTTTTAGCATTTTAGTCTTATGCATTCAATGTTTGAATTTAAAAAAAAAAAATTCTTAAAATTGTGATTAAATCCTCACAAAAAATGTGAATGTGAACTTTATTCTTCAATTAAAAAAAAAAAAAAAAAGCAATTAGGGCACATTTTTTTATATATGCAGTCACACAGTCACTGGACAAGTTCTAAAACAAATATAGAAAGGCAAGATTTTGGTGACGAAAGGATGTTTCTTTGAGCCATATCTTTGTATAATACGGAGAAAATGAGGTCACCTTTGTGTTCTTTCCAGTTTCTAAAGCATAAAGTAGAGACAACTTAGGAGGAACAAGAGAAAGAGAAAAAGAGAAATTTTACAAGTTTTGGGAGCGTTAAATCTATATTTTGTAAACCGACTTATTATTGCAATCAACTAATATTGTTTTTGGAATTGCAAATCAACAGCTATTTATATGAGGTAGGCTTTTTTTTCCTTTTTTTTTTTTTTTTTGAAAATATGACTTAGGGCTTTTTATGTCATTAGGTAAGGACATAATTAAAGCCACCTATTATTAGGGGATAATCTCTTATAATAAATGGCAAGAATTTAGACTTGTCCGAGGGGTAGATCAAATTGTAGGACTGTGGTTCAAACTCAAAATTTTACCTGATTCATGAATATTTTTAGACAAGTGTTATTTATTATAAATATAATTAAAAAATAGGGTTAATATGTGATTTGGCCCTTGAATTATATAATTTTTCACGATTTGATATTTATAGAAAAATTTTGTGATTAGGTATTTGAATTTTATTTTCATCATACATTTTGTCTCAAATGATAAGTTAATATGGAAAAAAAAAACCAATAACATCTTGATACATGATATGTTTTTATTAATTAGTGTTTATTATGTCAATATTTTAATTAACAATGTTAATTTATAGTGCAAAATGTTCAACAAAAACAAAAAGTAGGTAATTAATTGTGAATTTTTTATAAGTACAAAATTGTCAAAAATAATATAATTCTCAGGCCAAATTATTAATTAACCCTAAAAAATTTATTCTTAGTTATTAATAATATAAAAAAATTTTAAAAAGGACTTTTCAATAAAAAATGAAAACGACTTTGGTTTACTCAACTAATTCTTTAATTTTACCTCAATACGTTCCCCATAATTACTAGGGATAAATAAAGATTTTAATATTTAGTGTATTTTTTTTTAAATTTCTAATCTACCATTAAATTATTATTTTATTACTTACATAGTTGAAGAAGACATTAAACACATAAGTTTTTTGAACTTTTAACCTTCAAATATCAATTCCGATAACATACGAACTGATCCAAAGATCAATCCATAAGATTTCAACATCTAGTGTTAATTTCACATAATAATATATTGTGGCATTCCTTTTATTCTCTAGATTATTCAGAAACCAAACAAATGATTGGTAGATATTGTTATAGCAGGGTTCAAACTACAGACCAATATGATGGTATTATTTATGAGAGAGGGCCCAAATTCATCACACAAAATGTGCAGACAAATAGTATCCCCTTCGCATCTTTGACTAAGGTTTCAAATTCAACAATAAAAACAAAAGTAACAAAGTAAAGAAAAGGAAAAACCAACAGAAAGGGGCAACTATATTATCATTGGCAATTAATATTTTGGGAGAGAAAAAAAATTTTAATGTAAGGGAATCTCTCCAGCACACAACAAACTGTTGGCCAATCTGTTTTGATGGTAAGAAAAAAAATGTACAGAAAATATCTTCTTCAAATTGCATATTAGCAAGATAAAAAT